TATATCCATCATTATAATGGATATTTTCACTGCCCTAAAAATCCTCTGTGCTCCGCCTATTCATCGCTACCTCCTCCTCCCCTTGGAAACCACTGATCTTTTCACTGTCTCCGTAGTTTTGTCTTTTCCAGAATGTCATATAATGGGACTTGTACAGTATGTAGCTTTTTCAGATTGGCTTCTTTCACCTATTAATATGCATTTAAGGTTCCTCCATGTCTTTTTGTGGCTTGATAGCTCATTTCTTTTTAGTGTGAATAATATTTTATTGTCTGGATATACCACAGTTTATCCATTCACCTTCTGATGAACATCTTGGTTGCCTCCAAGTTTTGGCAATTATGATAAAGCTGCTATACATATCCATATGCAGGTTTTTGTGTGGACATAAGTTTTCAGCTCCTTTGGGTAAATACCAAGGAGTGCGATTGCTGGATTGAGAACCCATTCTTCTTCCAACCTTTTCCATATTGCCCAATCATTTACTCTTGTTAGCAGCCCTGATTGGTAGATATTTTTATGCCATTGTATAGATGAGGACACTACAGCCTTCACCAAAATTTTCCCAAGTCGCTTAGCTACAAGTGGTCGAGTTTAGATTTGAACCTAGATCAGTCTGCTGAGAAGTCTGTGCTGGTGCTGCCACACCATGCTGCTGCCCAGGATCTCAGGATGAGCAGGTTTTGGTGCTAAAACCAGAATCTCAAAATTTAAAATATTTCTCACACATTAAAACACAATAAAAATGTTATAAACAAGCAGAAAATTCTAACCTCAAAGCTAAATCATGCCTACAAATTCACAAAGGGATTAAAGAAAGAAAATTAAGTTAATTTTCTTTTTTAGGGAGTAAATGAAAAATAAAAGTTGATTGCTGAGTTAATATTTGTTTTTGCAAGCTTAGTCCAACAGTTTCCTTGGATATGAATTTCAAGTTGAAGCCTCTTCCTCTGTCACCTAATTTTCATGATATCTGAAAAGTTCGTACCCATCATTCAGAGCTGTCATTTCCCCCTCCTAAAATGATTTCATGTGCAAGATTTAATCTTTTTTATTTCTGGATTATTATCCTTCAATAATAATTTGTTTCTGCATCCAAAGACATTCTGTGTTCTTTCCCAAATGAGTATTTAAGACAGATGTTTTTAAAGATTTAATAAAATCTTCTGTTAATCTAAACATAAAAAATATGTATTACGTTGTCAGTGGCTTTCAGGGTGAAAGTCTTGCGTAGCATGTTCCCGGATAGAGTAAGCTGTCAAGACGGAAATTCTTTGGAATTTAAAGTATACCTGACTCCAGAAAGAGGTCATTTGAGTCTCTTCTTCCTATTGACTTCTCTCTGAACTTTGGTTTACAGCAAAGCAAAGCTCTGCCAGGCTACAGCTGTGATGGGGCTCAGCATATCCAGAGTGCTCGGCAAACCTCTGATAGCAATTCATTCCACCCTGGCAGCTGCATGTAGGTTTCAGTGTAAAAAGAATGGCCCATGATTTAAATCAGGATTTCTCAGCCTCAGCACTGCAGCCACTTTAGGCTGGGCAATTCTTTGTTGTGGGGGCTGTCCTGTGCATTGTAGAATATTAGCAGCTTCCTTGTCCTCTAACCACTAGATGCCAATAGTACACACCATCCTCATTTGTGACAACCGAAAATGTCTTCAAACATTCCCAAATGTACCTTGGGGAAGGGGCTCTGGGAATCTCCATTGGTTGAGAACCACTGATCTAAATGAAAGGAGTGGGGTCACTGAGACTGGGAAAAGTCCGTGAAAGTGGAGAGAGGAATGAGCATGGTCCGTGTAGGGGACAACAAGAAAGCTAGAGAAAATGAGGTGGGACGAACAGGATTCAGTTAGAATATGGAGACACTGTGTATAAAGGGCAAGGAAGCAATGGTGCTTATATTGTAATAATGGCTGTTATATTGGAATTTGGAATGTCAGTTGAATTGGATTTTGTAATGTAAATGCTATTAGGGAAAAGATTAGTACAAAGATAGTAATTATGAAAGTTGATATTTTTTAAGGAAATTACTATTCTGACTAAGAGTTTAACAAATTCAGATTTGGACTTTCAGTTTTCTGAGTTATGAGGATTAGATAGAGTTTATATTTTATTGGTTTATGGGTAGTCAGAGCTGCCTGAACAAGCACTGGTATGGTAGTGGTAGAAGATAAAGAAAGGAGATAGGTTCTTCACCCTATCCTTCCACTTGATCTCAGAGGGTGTCCAAACTGCAACTGACTCTTCCAGAACAACTCCATGCTCTTCAAGGGTCTCAACACACACACACACACACGTATGCACACACACTCACTATATTGCACATATTCTATAATATGTGATATAATACACTTCTATATTATACATAACCCATACTAAAACAACAGAGTCCATTCTTTGGCGAAAAATTTAAAGATAGTCAAATCCATTTATTTGATACCAAGAACACCAGTGGTTTCTAACCCTGAATTCATATAAAAGTCATCACAGAACTGTTAAATAACACCGACGACCTGGCCTTATTTCTAAGAGATTCTAGTCAACCGGTCTGCAGTGGGGCCTGCAAACTGATAACTTTTCAAAGCTCCCCAAGTGTTGATACAGTGAGAATCACTGATATAGCCCAGTCCTTAGTACTTTTATATTGTAACTGGGATGATGAGGTTGACTAATGTATAGGACTAAAGAGCAATACAAGATGATGTATGATAAATTATCCAGTTGTGTGTTAGGTATCATCGACATACTGGTAAGAGAAAAATCAATGGCAAAAACAGAAAAAGTCAGATTAGGTTGTTAATTCTAAGATGATGAAACCAGAGAGGATGTCTTGTTGGGGTAAATAAATGATTGGGGCGGGTCTTTTGTCCTGCCGAGTTCTTTGCATGTGATATTGCCCTTCTCACCACTCAGAGCATTTTAACCATATTCTATCAGAACACTCCCAGAAGAGGGGGGATTATGGCAGACACCAGAAAGAATGAGATGGACAACGGAGAACAACTTGGCAACGGCTCCTGAGCCCTTGGCCTGGAAGACCTTTGCTGGGAAATAAAGAGGATGGTTTTCACTTAAAACTAGTGACAAATATACACAAAATGTCACCAGGAGACTGTGGAGGAAATTCCAGGAAGAGAAAACAAAAAGGTCCATTATCACTTTGTGGTGACACAGCTGAAAGCCCTGTAGCAAGTAATTAGATAAATTAGACTTTGTTAGCTCAGATTAAGGCCCTTCCAGAATGACATTTTATTTATTCAACAGTGTGTCTGACTTCCCTTGGAAATGTCAGAGGTAGGACAAAGTAATTAGATTAATACAGTGAGCATTCATTTCATTTCATATCATATGGTTCCACTGTTAGCACTTTATCCACACAAGACAGCCAGATGTTAAACACTAAAGAATAAATGAGTAACCTTAGTTACTTATTACTGAAGAATGTAATAGAATTTAGGAATGGCTTACTTTTAATACTTTTAATTTGAGATTAAAAGTGTGAGAATCAAAAAAAGTTCTACCCAAATCTATCCAATATTTAGTAAGCATAAGTAAGAGTACAAAGTTTTGTCTTGTTCAAAATTCAATATTCTCTCAATGTTAGGAGGCTTCCTTAAAGTCAGAAATGAAGGACTTCATATGCTGTGCTATTTTCCCATGCAAAATAGAAATACCCATTTTATTAGTGCATGGAGGGATGAAGAAACAGGCTGTGCATCCACGCTGTGGTGGACCTGAACCACAGGAGGTCAAGGCACTTGTTCTGTGCTGTGTGCTGGGGAAGATTTGCACAGTGATGGAGAAGGAAGAAAGAGGGCTCCCAAGAGGGCTCCCTGCCACTTTCAAAAGCTACTTCTGTGTAACCACTGGCCCATAGCCTAGAATCTTGAGTCAGTCATCCATGATAATGTGGTAGAGAAGGAGCACACACGCTCGTTTTTTCCACTATGAATTTAGCCAGCAGTTTCAACTGTTCCACTTATCAAGAACAGCTGACAAAAGAGAAATTATTTTATTTAAGTTTATTCTTTCTTTACTCCTTTCTTATCAAAGGGACCAGTGAAAATATTAATAGGTAGCCTGAGGGAGATAAGGGGCAAAAACTGAAGGCAAGGCCCCTGATTGACTATCTACTAAATAATTAAAAACTAGTAAGCGCTATTTAGTCAGTAAGAAGTACCTGCTTCCCAGTGGGATGGAAAAACATTTGATTAAGAGCCAGGGGACCTAGATTCTAATTGGGTTCTTTTACTCAATAGCAATAGTCAAAATAATGATAAATAATAACAAATGATTGAGTTCTTATTATGCATCAGGCTCTGTATTATGCACTGTACATAAATGGGTATTTTGTTTAATCCACAACACTTGTATAAAATGGATGTTGTTGGGGCAGGCCCAGTGGCACAAGCAGTTAAGTGCACATGCTGCACTGCAGTGGCCCAGGGTTTGCAGGTTCAGATCCCAGGCACGCATTGATGCACCGCTTGTCAAGCCATGCTGTGGCAGCATCCCACATATAAAAAAAAAAAATGTAGAGGAAGATGGGCATGGATGTTAGCTCAGGGCCAATCTTCCTCAGCAAAAAAAAAAAAAAAAAACGAGGAGGATTGGCGTTGGATGTTAGCTCAGGGCTGATCTTCCTCACACACACAAAAAATTGATATTGTTATATTCGTTTAACAGATGAGGAAAGTAAGCATAAACTTGCATGAAGTTGCACAACAGAAACCTAGATCTCTGGTTTCTTGACTGAAAAGAGAGGGCATTTTTTTTTTCATTCAAAAACATTCACTTAGCATCTACTTATGCCAGGTGCTCTACTGGGCTCTGAAACTATGACTGAATTGGTGGAGCGCCCCTGGAGGGCTGGGTCGTCTCCAAGGACCTCCCAGCTGGATGATCTGTGCTTCTGTGTTTCTTTCCAGTAGTTGCATTGAATGTATATATATATATACTTTTGGTGATCTTTCTCATGTCCATGTGTGTCTGCAGGTGGTGGGCAGGGGAATGGGAAGCATGTTCGGCAACATGTGGGCCCCACGGAGAGAAGAAGCGAACAGTGCTGTGCATCCAGACCGTGGGCTCTGATGAGCAGGCTCTCCCAGCTAAAGACTGCCAGCACCTGCTGAAGCCCAAGACCCTCATCTCCTGCAACAGAGACATCTTGTGTCCGTCGGACTGGACAGTGGGGAGCTGGAGTGAGGTGAGCTCAGGGATTAAAAGGGAAACTGGCATTATTTCTGCTTCATCATCCCCCCACCCATTCCTCCTCCTCAACCAATCCAAAGTGACCCTAGGTAAAATTGCACAATGGCCAGCGTCTACCACCTCTGGCCTGGTTCCTGTATTCCCCACCACCCAGTATCCTATCTTGCTTGTCTTCATCTTATAGGATCTTCTTCTCACAATGGCCGTATACCTGCCATGCATGAGCTGGATCCTGCTCACAGAGGCTCACAAAAGCTAATTGATAAATCATCAGGATTTTTGCTGGCCCATCATTAAACCATTAGCTGTGAATCAGGGCTCCCCTCCCACCCCAAGAGCTGGTTTGTTAAATATTTACCAGTGGTTCTGTTTCCCTGGAACTACTGTAGTTAACTAAAACCAAAGTTGTGTTGCTCTGATGGTGGGATGACAGGCAGGACACTTGACACTTGCAGAAGCCTCTCAAATCATCCATCTATTCAGCTTGTGTCAAGGCCAGGCCTCACCAAGGTTTAGGACGTCTACTCTCATTAGCCACATAAATTCAAATAAGTGTTGCATTTTTCCAAAATTACTCTGATCTAGTTCTCTGAGTATAATTAGAAATCAGTGGGCTAGAAGGTCATGAAAAACTCCCAGGCTTCGATTTTCTTTGGGTTACCATGGAATCGGGTACTAGCAAGTCTTGTGCTCCCAGAATCTGTGGTGGAAATAGAGTCCTTTTTCCTCCTAGAGTCCTGGAGTCCCTGGGGACCTCGCTGTGCTTCTCTGTCGCATTTCAGTCAATGCCCTAAGGAATGACTAGAAAATAAATGATTTTTTTAAGCCAACAGGCCAGAATTTATAGATGGATGCTGACTTCTTATGAGCTTCCTCGGGAAGGCACATGTTTTCCATAAACATAACATAAAGCTGCCATTGGCCAGAATATCTTAGGAACTCATTTTGGGAGTCACCTTCAGAGAAATGGAAAACATTTGATTCAGGAGAATGCCACAGAAAGTCAATTAGAATTAAGTCTGATGGATAAGGAAGTAATATGATCAATTTGGATAAAACCTTTGTGTTTAAAAAGTGATGTTTGATTATAAATAAATGAGATTGCTTTTCATAGCTTATAAAGGTACTCAAAGTATTATCTAAAGTACTCGAAAATTTGTATAAGCAAAGGTACCATCTCTGAAGATAAGTATTTGAAAGCAGAAAACACTCATTTGAATACAATCACTTCTATTTCCAAAACTCTATTTCATTAGCTTGTAGTCACATTTTAGGTTTATTTACCTTCTAATTCTGCACAGAATGCTCTCTTGTGCATCTAGGTGAAAATTGTTTTAAAAATGGCAAGTATGGTCCCTATGTTTTAGGAACTTCCTATCAAATGGGAGAGATAAGACCAAGGTGATATGCAAAGAAAACATACCTACAAACTAATACAGGTGTTCTACTGATATGTGCAATGATGCATGTGCACATATCAGCAATAGGCCAGAATATTCCCCTGCTGTTCCTGGGAGGGTACAATGATAGTCTGTGGCTGGCCTGACCATTAGTCCACTGCCAACCTAGATTGCTGTAAATTACAGTGTTGTCAAAATAAGGCTGAATGGGGTATTGTGACTGGTCCATTAAATCTGTTTACCAAAAATGTTTTGGCTGCATCCAAACAGTTAATAATTCTTGTCATGTCGAATTTACTAGTTGCCAGAATTTCCTGCTTTTTTAAAAGACTACAATTATGTATTTGGCTGAGGAGTTCTTCTTATTGTGAGCATGTTTATGGGGAGCAAAATGATGTGCCTTAACTGGAGAACGAAGGACGAAAAAATTGGCACGATGTGACAAGTACTTGTGTCTGTTGTTCCAAATATAGGCCATTGCATAGTGTACTGACAGCAGACGTGGAATCCAGTTTCTAGCTTCCACTTGACAGAGCTGAGCAGAAAGGCTGAGCCACTGCCTTTATTCAGGAGATGTTGTCAGGAAAGATGCTTTTAGTTAAATCAGCATCAAAGTATTCATCGAATGCTTTTCCTTGCTTGCCTCTGCTGTCTTGCTAATGTCTATACACATTAGCCCTCTAATGAGCTTTGCTGGAATATGATGAAATGTCTTTGACAGTCTAACTATGCCCAGATACTTTTTAAAGAGAGATGATATAGTGATTCTTGCTATACATAGTATTTATGGTCTGGATTTTGTCTTGAGATCAACGTGAATTGATACAGGGTAGTACTGCCAGCAATACCTGATTATTTATTCTGCACTGGGTCATTTGGGTCACTCTGAAGCTATGATGAGTCTGAAGCTATAATATAACTGGGCCAAAAGATCCAAGAACTGCGAGGCTCCTAGTGTGGTCCTCCCTGGGCTGACCAAGTTGGAAAGAAGGAGAAAAGAGGGTGGGCTCAGCTGTGCCGTGCTGGCACACTCATCCCTGACCCAGCAGGAAGGAGGGGGTCTCTCCCTTGCTAGAGAGAGTCAGAGGCTGCCCCTAAGGAGAGCTATCCTCCCGCTATGACCAGCCCCTTCCCCTCTAAGCTCACACTCTGGACACTTGATTCCCACCCCTGACCTCAAGTTACACCAAAAAGCTTATCCTGGTTTTGCCCAACCTACTTCTGGGCTTGAAGGGTAAAGAAGGGAGACTCTGTTGTAAACAAAGACAAGGTATCAAAGTTTCTATGGCTTCTACTAGGAATACCACCTCAGTGACATGCCTTGTGAGAGGCAGCCAGTCTAGTGGTGAAGAGCATGGCCTCTGGGGCATGGCCTCTGGGTTCAAATCTTGGCTGCCACTTATTAGATGTGTGAATTTAATCTCTCTGTGGTTACTTTAGTTTTCTATGACTTGTTTTCTCCATCCCTAAAATGGGGATAACAACAGTATTTAGACTCAAGGTAAGTTATGAGGATTAAATGAGTTAATATTTCTAAAATTCTTACTAGTACAGTGCCTGGCACATAGCAAGCTCTAGACATAGAATCATTTGTTAGTGAACAGATGGGAAAAAAAATAATGTCATCAATCATTTTTTGAGTGATTTCCACACCATTGTCTTATTTAACACTTAAATAACTCCATGAGGTTGATACTAGTTCATTAATTCCTCTATTTCTCCTGACAGTTAGACTAATAGATTTAGTGGAGTAGTAATTTTTCTAGGTTTTCCAGCCTTGGCAAGCCCTAATTGTATGGCCTTGAGCTGATGTTAAACCTCTCTCAGCCTTTTCTCATTTAGAAAGACAAGGTATTACAAGGCTTGAAGATAATCCGTGTAAGCTCTTCGCGAGGTGTCTGGCGAATAGTAAGTGTTCACTAAATGGTAACTTTATCATCAAGCAAGAAGACAATGGTCTATTTTCCATGCTATACTGATTTTGCAAACCTTATCCAGTCAATGGCACCCACATGTCCTGAGGGAATTGATCTGCGGCTTCCTACATTTTCATCTAACTCCCTCCTTGAGCTCAGGGCCATTTTATGCACGGAGCACTGCGAGCACAGGGCTTAGGGCCTGCACATTTTTCAAGGGCCTACAAAAATGTTTGAGACCTGAAAAAAAAAGCTAATATATTGCTTCCATAAAAACAAAGGACACTGCAAAATCAGAATCAATATTTAATTACATATTAATAGCAAATACTTATTGCTAAATACTTACAGGTATTAACACAATACCTCACCATGGCCTCATTAGTGCCATTTTACAGGTGAAGAAACTGAGGCATAGAGATGTTTAGAAACTTGTCCAAGATCACACAGCCTCCCAGTGGTGGAGCCAGGATTTGAAAGCAGGCAGCAGAGCATTTACTCTGAACACTGCCACACTGCATCTCAAACATCTGCAAAATGTAACCATATGACAGCTCTTAGTATTTGTAAAAAATGTATCATGTTTGGAAACGATTTATAGATCCACTTTTCTCAGGTGGCTGGAATTCCAGGCTGTGCATAATGATTGCTGAGAAATCAGAGCCACTCATAAATTAAATGAGTTCCCCTCACCAAATACTTTCAAAAGCAAAAGAATAAAAAGCCTTTCAAATGGTTTTTACGGAAAAAGATTATATTTCATTTGAGACTAGAGATAGTTTTTAATATATTTGGTGGGACGTGGGGTGGAGCCTCCAAAAGCAGACGTGCCTGGGATCTGTGAAGATCTTTAATCTGCCCTGTCTGTGCCTGAGAAAAGCACACAAACAAATGGACAAAACCATCAATTAGCCAAGTTACTGAGAATCTGTTGAGTGCAGAGCTGTTCGCTCGGGCATTGGAGTACACAGTGACCAATTAGACCAGATGCCGATTTTCATAAAGGAGCTTTCCTGGCTCTTCAGACAGAAGGCGCTGCAGCAAGCGCCCATGGCATATCTGTTGCTAAATGAGAATGAGAAGCAAAGGAAAACTCTCCTATGAAGTCCCACAGGAGACCCTGCAAACTGAAGGAAGGCAGAGCATGGAAGGCCAGGAGACATTTCTGAGTTGCTTACCCTTGGTATTCTCCAGTTTTAGTTAAGATCCAAAGTGCTCCTGTGGGGCTGACACCTGATGTTTTTGCTTCTGCTCTCTTGGCACAGGGCGTCTGTAAGTGCCAACATCTCGGTTCTTCTCAGGCGTCAGCAGCCTGTGCTCTGCCTGGTTTCCTGGAGAACACATATGGGTGCCCTTGTTTGAAACAGCTACTCACAGAAAACCAGTTAGGGGTCATGTTGATTCTCTTCATCATGTCTGGTTTTTTTTTAATTACCTAGGGTACTATATTAGTTTTCTAGGGCTTCTGTAACAAAGTACCACAAACTGGGTGGCTTAAACAACAGAAATGTGTTGTCTCACAGCTCTGGAGGCTAGAAGTCCAAGATCAAGGTGTTGGCAGGGTTTGTTCCTTCCAAGGGCTCTGAGGGAGAATCTGTTTCATGACTTTCTTCTAGTTTCTGGTGGTCTGCTGGCAGTCTTTGGTATTCCTCGAGTTGTAGACATATCACCTGATCTCT